TAAAAAAAAAAAAAAAAAAAAAAAAAAACAACCAACAAAGAGTTCCCAGTGGGAAGCACATGCTATTGTAAGACTTCCAATATTGAACCTGTCAGAATAACGTATTTTTGAAAGAGAATAAAAACACTTTGCACAGTTTGGTAGGTCGCATCCTATACAATTGTATCTGAAGCACAGAGTCTGCCTTTCATAAATATTTCCATATGCAAAGCCAATATTACTTTTAGCAGCACCACTAGTGATTTCTGCTGTCCACCTGGTATTAAGCTTTAGACTACTTAATTGCATCCTCCACAGGAGCCAAATATGCAGCTTTCTAAACAATGACTGTAAAAAGACTATGAGAATTTGTTATTCTTTGAAGTACATTCTTAACATATTTTATTCATAAGAAGTTAAGTTAAAACGTATTTTTTTAAAGACAAATTACAAAATGGATTTTAATATGTTTCTCTTGTGTTAGAGGACAGAAAGCAGTATTTCATGCAAGCATGCAAAGCGTGTACACTGAACAAGAGAAAGAAAATCTGAGTGTGAAAGAAAATTCCAGTGTCCTAAAAAAAAAAAAACCCTGCTACATCTGATTATTTAATAAATGTATCTGTTCAATCCCAGAAAGCTTCACTCTACAAGCAGGCTGGTAAGAGCTTTAGGACTTACACAACCAGTTTCTAAGACTGTAAAACTCAATCATGTCAAATGAGAGTTGAGGAGTAGAGACTGAAGTATCAGACTCCAAACAATAGTTTAAAAAAGGGTTAAAAAGCTATTTTGACATGTGGGATAGCCTTTATTTTGTATTTCCTCTAGAAATTAATTCAGTAGAAATTCTACTTAAGATGACTTGGCAAGCGCAACCTAGCAATTAGATAGCGAAATACAGTCCCCCCCAGTTTTGTGCATAGATATGTTATTTACAAGGAGATGCTTTCCCAAAAGTGCAAAAGGGGCAGAAAATGGCTGAGTGCAGCCAGAAAAGGAATTCACCAAATGAGGCAGGAAAACTTGCCTGTCAGTACTGGTAATGAGGAAACCAAGAGGGTAGGTTTCATTTCCAGCCCTGGGTTACAAATGTGAATCAACCCAAGCCAGAATTTATAAGCAGAATCCAGCAGTTTGGGCAGACAGGCAAGTAATTAAGCTTCACTTGTCTGGAACATGGGTTTTGTTGGTATGGGCTGCAAAGCAGTTCTCTTCCTTGCCATAACATAACCTTCCAATTTTGTAAGGTGGGTCTGCTCAACAGTACAGACCTTCAGTGATTTTTCCCACAACCATAATGTCTCAGACTGTAGAAATATCTGCAGTCTAGAAGAATGTAAATCTTACACAGAGTGTCACTTGATTTCAAATCTGTTTATTGCAAGTCATTAATTCAATTATGACTGATACTACAGCATCAATTGGGAAACTGTTTCATCACCATTCCAGGTAAAATTGCAAGACTTCTGAGTCTCTGGCTTTCCCACCTGTAAAATGGCAGTAACAGTTCATCACTTTCTACAAAAGTGTTCTGATGTCCCCAGAAGAAAGTGTCTAAAGGGCAAATTAGTACTATTCTTCCTAAAATGCTCATACGTGGTGTTACTTGTCAATGCTTTTATTATCCAATAGGGAAAACATTTTTAAGTATCTCTAAAAATATGAAAGGATTTTTGTAAATCTCCATTATAGTGAGTACTGACAGCCCTCAGCACAGTAAGCCAAGCCTGATTTTTGCACTGCATCTGCAATATCTTTTATACTTGGGCAGCTGGCACAGAGTGAGAAAATTCATTAACATGCTAATGATGTGTCCTATTTAAAATTCCAGCTCTGATTATTGTGTGATTAAGTCTCTTCCCTTGACGTCTGCTTCCTTATATCTGCATTACTGTGAGAAATCAACAATTATTAATGAAGTAAAAAAATAGGTTACCAATTTATACACAAGAGAAAGACAAACATACACACACATTTTAGCATTTCACTATTTTCCAGACAAAGCAGTATTATTTCAGTTAAAAAAAAAAAAAAAAAAAAAAACACACACCAAAAAAAAAAAAAAAACACCAAAGTTTTCAAGACATTCACAGGCTCAAAACAGAACAGTTCAAGTGCCAGATGAGAAATAGCCATGTGTAGGAATACCTGCACAGAAGGTTTTAAGGTTCTATTAAAAAAAGAGGGAGGGCTCCTGATGCAGGAAAAGTAGAAGATTATGCCCTGGAAACAATACAAAAGCAAGAATGAGAGGAGACAAGAGATAGAGTTGATCTGATTGCCTTTCTCAAAGGAAAATGAGGAATCTCTTTTCCACAGTGAAAGACATTTAAACCAACAGAATTACTTAAGCTAGCATTAATTTGCCTTCAAAATGAGAAGACCAAGGGACTGCTTTTCTCTGCATTACTTTCAGTAACTTAGGTTTAGTTACAGACAGACACCTATTTCATTGTGTTGAGCCAAAGCACAGCACAAACTGTGCCACAGAGGAATCACAGGTACATCCCTACTGCACACCAGGACACAGATCAGCCAGCCTAGCCCTGTTTGGTTTTGCTGCTTAAATTCACATAGCCTGAAGGGTTCCCTAATGAAATCTGTGCAGGCAGCTAGTAACAAAGGCCAGAGGACAGTAACATCCTCAGATAGTAGCATTAGATGGAGAAGGAATTTCTCTCACTGGTTTCTAGCTGTAAGAAGTCAAACTAACCAAGAATGGGCTGCACCAAGCAATGGTACCATTCACACTAATTTTACCCATGACACAGAGCAGCTGAGTATACACTGCACTAGTAGCTCAAAGAACAGAAGCATTTTAGGAGCTATTTTCCTGCCAGACTACACTCTCCCAAAAATCACACTGTCACCAAAACCAAGGGGTCAGCACACCTGTGATCACAAGCCGCATACCCCTGCTGCATCCCTTGTGCCCGGTGCTCCCACCAGGCACTAGTGTGTCTCACAGGTGCACTGATGCCCAGCTCACAGCAGGCTTCTGGTCTGAGCTGGCATACAGGATGGGGAAGAAACACAAGGAAAAGGCAAAACCGCCCTTCTCAGCAGCAACACAGATTTTACTTGCGTAAATGAACCACAAAGCCTGAGCATGTGCACTAAGTCAGCTTGGCCACCCTGACTCAAATTTCACCTTTCACAGTGCAGACAAAGCTAACACAATTATCTACAGTTCTTTTAAATAACAGCAAAACCAAACAGTAACAAAATTGTATTCCAATTGTTTATGCTTTTTTCTCCAAATATAAAAGTACTCCACAAAATAACAACTGGTTCATAAAAGTGGATGCCATCTTTGAGACAGTCTAGATACTGTTTTCCAGAGTGTACCAGAAGGCTTATATTCAGTTAAATGTGTTATCAAACTCATGTTAGTGTTCTCAAACCTACATGAGTTTCCATTTGTTAAAGGACAAAATGGTGCAGAGACGAGGAAAAGGGAAGATCTCAGATTTAATTTATGTGTCTCTGACTAGTATGTGCCTGACAGTTTTATTTTATACAAGGATAAATTTCTCCTTATGCTTACAGAATCACAACAAATTAAAAGAACAACCCACATAGTAAACACAGTATTTTGCCATTTATTGCCATAAACTGTAGGGCAGTAGAGGTCAGACCAAGAAGACACCTCATTACAGCTACATATTTGCTGTAATGTATACATATGCAGAATAGGGGGAAAAAAAAGTCTGTAAACTGCTACCAATTCTGTTCCATCAGCAAGAGTCCTGAAGTGGTTTTGTTTAAAACCCCGCTGCAGAAAAATACAAATGAGAAGTACATGTGTATTATAGGAAGTTTAATTGTCCTAGAAACAAAGGAGTGGATTAGGTCAGAACCCTCTTCAACTCACTAGCAATGAGGAAGCCTTGCCTGGTGTGTATTTGCAGCTTTGGATCATAATGCATTACTCTGAAGAACCATTTTTTAAATTTTTATCTAGTTTCTAAGAAAGCAAGTTCTCTAGTAGCATGTGTGTGTGTATATATATATGTATTCTTCTCTGTATTTTTTAAATTGTCATAAGACATACCCTGTTGCCTACAAAATTTTTTGTTTCTAAGATAGCTCTGCTTATCCATTTGCCTATGAAGAAACTTCATATAATTTTAAACCAGAGGTGCTTTCCTCTCTTCAGCCAACCTCAGGAGATCTGGAAAAAGGAAAGACATTTCAACCCCCTAGACCTTTAAAGTAGCTCTCAGATTTATACTTTGCTGTTTAGAGGTAACTATAGTAACTGTACATTTGTAGTCAATTAAATGTTATTCAGCCTTTTCATTTAATCAAGCAGCAAGGCCACTTTATCTGCTTAACTTCAGGAGAGGATACAGCAGATAAGAGGCTAAGTCAAGTCTAGGAACGACCGTGCTGTTTGTTAATTTGTCAGTAGCTTTCCCAGTAACTGCAGAGAACTTCTCCAATACCACCGGGGCACTACAGCCCAAGCGCACTGCTTGTAGTTACATGAGTTGCATTTGGCAAGCTGTTTAAACCCCACCCCAAACATAAATTTACAAAGAGAACTCTTGCCTTCTGAACCAGACATCCCTTGCACCTCATACATTCAGACCCATCACCAAGTATGTTTTATATATACACTATCTAGTTATATATACTAAATACATTGCTGTTGTCACAGCCAGCCACATCTACTGTTTCCACATAAAAGATCTTACATGTTTCTCTGTATGTGAATACATGCACAATAGCATCATCATTGTCAATATAAAAATGGGCTTAGAAAAGACAGTTTTTTGGAACAGGACTAAGATAGATTTCAAAAATCTGTATATTACTGGGATACCCCTTCTCCTCCTCAGACTTTCTCACCTCAATTGGAAATAGCTGGAAGCATATTCAGCATAATGTTTATCTGGGTCCTGGCAAAACTTACCTCAGAAAAATAGTATGTTTTATGAAACACAGGATGGTTCATCAGACCTAGTAGACATCTAGGAGCTCATGACTGAGCAAGAGATGTAAGAGCCTGTGAACTACTTACCAAAGGCAGTCTCTCCTTGTTCAAGTTCTTGTTTCAGTCTGGTGTAATCATCTTTGATTCTCTCTAGTTTTCGGACATTTCTGGCACTCAGATCCAACAGTTCATTGAGAAGTCCTTCCAGCCCCTCCTTCTCTGATGTTAATGATCTTATTTCTTCTGCTAGGTCCTTTGCAGTACCAAAATTACTTCCTGTGTGTTTTGTGGGAGCAGGGGGAAGCAAGAGGAAAGAGACAATGAAGCAGATACTTGCAACATCAGTAGGTTACACAGCAAACAAGGGAAATTAAGCAACTGTACTTCCCAACAGCAACTGAAAGACCAATCTAGGGGTAGGTGGGGGTGGGCAAAGAGCAAAAAAACTCTGCTTTGCAAACATCCATTTCAATAATATACTACAAAACCAATCATAATTGTAGCAAATTTAACGTTATAGAAATGCCATGTTTAAATTACTGATACAATTTACAGTTTTGGAGAAAACCTGTTCCTAAGGGTCCATACTTCAAAAAAATGTCATACTGTAATACATTGATCACTACAGCGGTGATCTGTCAGACCATCTTCTTCTCTTGGAGAACACCTCAACTCACAATACTTTTGAAATAGATGCTCTTAATCTATTAGACCCTGAAGTATATCTTCTTCAGCAAAGCAGCACTATGATGTTGTTTGTAACAAGAACCAGAAGGTTGCTTATAAATGACACACTGTATTTCTTAAATGGCATGCAGCCTGTGCAAAGACCATCAGGAGATGTTCTTCTTGAAAGACCATATTTGAAAGCCACAACTCTCCAGTTCTGGCTCTCCCTGAAGCATAAATACCTTAGTATCATCCACTCACACTGCTCTGGAGTTTTTAAAAAATTACTGGCTCCTTCGGACAGGGTTACAGAGTCAAAAGTTCAATTCCCAACTGGTCTGCAGTATAGCCTAGTAACAGATGTCCACTTGACCTTTCTGAAAACCATTTTTATATAGGAACCCGAGAGGAACATTTCCTTCCTTCACAGGGCCTTGAGTACAAATAGACGATGACGGCCTGAGATGCACAGCTATTAAATGATTTCTAAATAGCAGTATTACAATGCCACATTTATACAGCTGAACCTGTGTGTTTTCAATGATTCAGTTGCTTGGCTGGGGGAAAGAGGAAAAAAAACAACCCACTTTAAAGAATACAAATTTCCATGTAGATTTACCCGATACAAAATAGAAGTTCTATAGCACAAGATCTAAACTTTAGCATCATCCTAACTTAGCAAAAATTTGGTGGTATGTATAGTAAATTTAGTCTTGAAGCAAACACAAGGCACATTCAGTCACATGTGTAAGACATATAACTGCTTCTGAAGTGCATGCAATGACTTTAGACTCCAGAAATAACTCTTAATACCACCAGCATCATTAAGATATAAAGGTGTCCTTTGGCTTTTGTTTCCAGAATATCCTAATATGTTGTTTACACTCAATAGATCAATTTAAAAGTCTATTTTAGAAAATTAAGACATAATCCAAAACATTAAATCCACATCAGAGTATTCCAAATTGTGGCATTACATCCTTTTTACCTGGTGTCTCAAAAGTGTTGGTCACAAAGTCTTAAACAGGAATGGTCTGGCTGCTGGCTGTTCAGTTCCTTCAGGACAGAGGAGCAAGTATTTACACTGCTCAGAAACCACTGCCAGCTGCTGAGAGAGGCTTCATTCCTCCACAATTTAAGAGTGAACAGAAGCACTTCCATCAAATAACTACAATCATCCTCCTGGAGGAAAGAAGCTGCTGCAAACTGAAGTGGCTGTATGAGGACAGGTGTGCCAAAGGGAGACTGCACTTTCCAAAATTTTGGGAAAAATGGTATCAAATAAGACAAATTTAGAGACTGTACATTGCAAAGTATGGTAGCCTTTGTTTTGTTTCAGTTTAGTCTCAAGGCTATAGTAGTTTCAGCCAACCCCTTTTCCTCATTTAAAGCTGACACTTTTTTTGTTTCTTTTTAAGAGTTCAAAATTCTCTAATTTCTAATTCTCAGCTAAAATCCCGTTTGCCAATTCTGTCTTACAAAGAATTATACAATTAAATAACTATCAATATGCTTTACAAATAGTAGGATCTCATGGCTTTACAGTGCATTTATTGGGAAACAATAGCATAATTTTTATTATCTTCACCTGTCACACTTTCCTAAGTGGGCAAAACACAGCAGCAAGAAAAGTAAGACAAAAATTACCGGGAAAATGGCGATTATTTAGGCACTTCTAAGGCAACAAGACTTACAATTCAACAGTCCACCTTTATTCACCTGAATTCATCCCAAGCATCAAAGCATAAGAGACTTAATAAAACATGAAGGCAAGAGATTCTTCATTAGAATCTAGAGCCTGCTCTTGCATTTCAGAAGTCAACAAGAAAAGAAGTATGATATTACATATTAATTAAAGTTTTATACATACTAAATGGATCTTAATTCCCAGATGGAAAGTTTATGTCCAAACTGAGGCTATGAGGAAATGGCATCAGATATATGCCCAAAATTGAAACCACAAGTGCCTGATACAGCTCCCCATGACAGCAGAAGTGTCTGGAAGTCTGCAGTAAAAATTCAGAAGAGTGTGCACAAGTTCATGCACCACAAGTGCCATCAGTGAGCTCCTGACCTCAATCACAGTAACCAAAATAACTGCTTTCTAAATGCTATAAGAAGGTTCATTTTAAAACTAATATATAATCCCTGGCTGCCAGCATTAAAATATATGTCTGTCTTTCTAGGTGTTTTTTTTTTTGTTGTTTGTTAAGAGACAAACATTTGATTCAGTAGAAACATTCTGAAGACACGGGTCAAAATATTTTCTTCTGCTAATATCCTGAAAATGCTGAAATTCCTCCTTTTGATGATAAAATAATTCTTTTTCCTAAGTGAACGCAATAACTGTTACTTTGTCAACCACTCAGAGGTATGGTTTATATAGCCATACTACTGGGACAGTTCTAGTTGGGTGATACTACACAAATAAAGTCACTCCTAACTTTTCCCAGGAAACTCAAAAATCACTGAAGCTAACAGGACTGCTCACACAGAAAATCTGTACAGATACAACAAAAGCAAGGAACTAGTAGTCTAAGATAAAAGCTTAGCTTTTTGTCTAAACCAAGACAGAAACAGGGATCTTATGAAGCGGACTGAAGGATTAAATGCTACTTTTCCCATCCTTCATCCTGTCTCTCAGTGATGCTTACTACCAATGTGCAATTTTAGTCACTACATACATGTTCATACAAACACACAGGGTACAAACTGGTACACCAAATGGGGAAACCACAGATTCAGAAAATGATTTATAAACCTCCAGGACTGAAAGTCTGATGCTCTATCAGAATCTTAAATCTAATCCGTTTCAATTTGAATACATGGTGCTTAGATAAAATTGGGGTGAGGGAAAGGAGAGAAGTAATCATGAGAAGTTGGGATTACAATAAAACCTCAAAACCTTCACATGAACTCAGCCAAACTGATTATGCTTCTACAATACTGAAAAGTCAATTTTTAACTTTCCAGCTAATTAAGTATCCAGTGCTCTTATCAGGTTGAATAACATGCTTGCAGTACTCTGTCATAACGAGCTGAGGAGATACGTTTTACTTTTGAGAAGCTGAACACTACCATCACCTCAAAGGACAGCAACAGAAACCCAGTTTAAACTTCTCCCTTAATCTCACCCTCTGGGGCTATCTCTTCATATGCATTCTTCATAAACCACTCTCTACAGAGGGTGATATCAGGGAAGCTCCAGCGGCTTGATATGAATGCCAAAAAATACTAACTAAATCAAACAAAACAACTCACACTTGAAAAACTAAATAAAATTAAAAAAAAAAAGAAAAAAATTATCCCCAGGCACAAAGTAGCTATATAATTGCTTTTATTCACTGCAAACATAAGTAAGTATATTTAATTTCCTCTCTGCCCAAAATTTTAATTGTGTGACTATAGCTAAATAAATAGTATTCTGCATATCAAGTATACTTTCTCTATAGATGGTTACACGCCACGGACTCATATCCAGTATAACAGCTCATTGTTAGGTTTTACTATATTGGTCAGATCGTTGCCCATTTAGTAGCCTCAAATTAACATATCACTAAGTTGTCACCATCTGCCAAAAACAAACTGACAAAAAATATGGTTTGAAATCTGTCCCATTTTGCAAAACCCAAATGTGTTATCATTTAAGCTTTATTAAATATTTCTCCCCTTCAAAATGTAATACAAAGTTAATGGCCCACAAGGTTTTTATTCCTGCTTTTTCTCGTATTTATGGCAGAAATTACACAAGCTCTTAGTTTTCATTATTTATACTTGAAGTGGTAAGTCCCATCCCTACTGAAACTATGTTCAGTGTAGTACAAGCAAAGGAGCCATTTTTGCATTCCCAGGAAAGCATACATACTGGACATTGGCTTGAATGTAGGAAAGAACAGACTGGTCATTCTTTATTATTACCTATAAACTAGTTTTTCATAGACTAACACCACTACCTTTAATAATACATAAGAAAGTGAAAATTTGTATTTTAGCTTAAGGCATTTGCCACCATGGTATTCATCAATGACACTGGAACGCAAAGCTGAAAATCCTATACCCTGTGAATAATGAGAATACAAACTCATTCCAATATCAGAAGAAAAAAAAAAAAAAAAAGAAAATAAATACCATTCAGTTGCTCGCAAAGAAAAGACAGCTAAAACATGACTGAAATGTAAGATTTTGGAAGCAACTCTGAAAAAAACAAATAGCAAATGAGGGACAGCCTACCATCTCCTCAAACATTTCACAAGAATTCCAGCATATCCGAATCACTATTATTTTAAGCGGTAACATGTGCCAGCACTTTTATGAAGCATGATGCAACTGAATGATGTGATCCTGAAAGGTAAAGTAAGAAAAAACCATCCAAAAGCAGGCAAGAGACCTCATAAACACATTTGGAGGAGGAATTCTCTGCCACAGAAGACCTCTTGTACCTGCAGCTGAATCAGTCGCCCCAGAGCAATCAAGAACCACCACCCCCACCCAAAAAAAGGAGGGAGCATAAAAACTCAGCAACAATAAGATTTTAAATCAATAACAACTCAAAGGCTCAAGTGAAGGTTACCAATGAGAAAACACACAAAAAGCTGAAGAAAAA